ATGCCAGGAGAGGATATGATTTGGAAATATGAATACCCATCATTTGAATTGGACATTTGGGCCAACAGGTAGATTCTTAATTTATTTTGAATTCCTCAATACTTTTTGAAAGCTCTTCCTGCCTCTCTTTCTTGAGGAAAGAGGAAAGGATTTGGGGCTAATCTTGGGAGAAGGGAGTAATGGGTGAAAGCTATGAAGAGCTTGAGAATATAACCACTGATGATGTGTTCTTTTGAGAATTTTTTCATATTCATGTCTTCAAATGTTTGAATGTTTTAATGCTATGAATTTAACAATATATAGCTATAGACCCCCCCCCCAGTCTTTTCTAATTCTTTTGGTCTGTTCCTTTACATGCAAAGAGAAGAAAGTGCATTAAAGATAATACACTTTGATATGAGAATTTGCCAGCATTAATAGAAAATTGAAAACTTTTTTTCCTTTTCAGTACTAGGAATTGATCCCAGGATATGCTGCTTCACTATATACCCTGCCCTTTTATTTTTCTGAGGCAAGATCTTATCAGTATGCCACTGCGGGCCTCAAACTTACAATCCTCTTGCTTTAGGTTTCTGAGTTAGGGGGTTTACATATGTGTGTTACCACATCTGCCATTAAACATTATTTTTTTTTGGTAATTGGGATTGAACTCATGACCTAGCACTTGCCAGTTAAATCCGTGGCCTTAAACACCATTGTAAATCCTGTTTCAGTTGATCTGTTAAAAAACTGTGTGTGTGACTTCTGGGAGAACATGGCGGACAGATAGCAGCAGCTACGGAGGCTCTCTTAAAGACCCAGCTTAGAATTCAGGAATGGTGCGGAGTAAGGAATCATAAGCAAGAGGAGATATGCCCTTCTGACCCAAGAACGAACTGGGCTGAGAGAAACCAACTGGGAACACAATCCTGGTGCTATAACAGAAACAGATAAAGCCTCAGCGTGGAAGCTGGAGCCCGCGCCATTGGAAGCCGCGATTTGGGTGTCCCCCCCCCCCCCCCCCCCCCCCGCCACCACTGCGTCTGCATCGGCTAGGCAGGGAGAGAGACGCGCGGAAGCTCTGAGAACAGGAATCGGTGAACGTAGTTGAGAGCAGGATGGGTGGGGAGCTGGGTATTGACCTGCGGTGAGTGAGGGAAACTGGGACTCTTCCATGGTCTAGGAGACTCCAACAGAGGACATTCTGGGACTGGGCAGACTTGCGGGAACAGGGCACTGCAGTGACTTCAGTCACGTATCCCCCTCTCAAGCGGGATTGGTGAGCAGTGCCTAGCCTACATGATGCGGCTGGCTGAGACCCAGGAGGCTAGCACAACCCAGATCCCAGCGCCTGAAGGTGACCTGGAGGGGTGGGCCCTGCATAGGCTGCCTGGGTCTGCAACTTCCTGGTGCGCTGCGGTGGGCGGGAACACCTAGCCGGCGCAATTCATTCAGACTGTGGCTGACAGGGAAGGAAGCTAGGCCTCCTATATATGTTTGCATATAATAAGGAACAAAGAATATGGGAAGAGGCAACAACAAGAAAGGCTCCTCGGCCCCCAATCCTGAGAAAGAGGCAATAGCAGACACAGCACCAATAGATACAAAGCGCTATCTCCAGAGCCTCATAGACAAGTTCAGGAATGAAATTAATGACCTGAAGCTAGACATAAGCAGAATAGTTGGAGAAATGCTAAGCACCACCCAAGAAAAAACAGATGGTGGAATGGAAGAATAGAAAAAGAGGGGAGAATTGTTTGATGGAGAAAATAGAGAAAGCATAGAATACATGAAGCAGGTTCAAAGAGATTACCAGGAAACTAGAAACTCTATCGAAAACTGGCATAATAGCTTGAAAGAAACTAAGGACAGATTATCTGAACTGGAGGGCAGATTTGTAATATGGGAGCATGAAATGAAACACTTCTTAAAAATAACAAAGAAACAAACAGCAATAATATAAAGAGTAGAAGATGATAAGAGGGTGTATAACTTAAGAATTAAGAACATAAAAGAAGAAGTAGGGACACAAACAAATGAACTACAAAAGCTACTCACAAAAATAATCCAGGAGAATTTTCCTAATTTAGCAAAAGGTAAAGATACTCAGTTGTATGAAGCATACAGGACCCCAGCCACCTATAACCCAAACAGAGCAACACCCAGGCATATAATAATTAAAATTGCAGAAATCCAATACAAGAACAGAATACTAAAAGCCGTCAGAAATAAGAAACAGATCACTTACAAGGGAACACCCATCAGAATTATAGCAGACTGCTCGCCACAAACCATCAAATCACGAAGAGCGTGGGGGGAAGTAATTCAAGCTTGAAAGATAATAATCTCCAGCCAAGATTAATATATCCTGAACAACTATCCCTGCAAATTGATGGAAAAACAAGGTGCTTCCAGGACAAAGAGGAACTAGGGGAATATGCAACCTCCAATTCAACTCTACAGAGAATACTGCAGGATATTCTAAAAAAGAAAAATACGAAGAATCCAGAAGTAGCGGCAGAGAGGCCACAATGAATGAAGCAGAAAACAAAATGAAGAAGACAAACTGACAACTAATGACAGAAAAAGAGCGCAACAGAAATGAGGCAGAGAAGATTGGATAATAGGAACAGCTATTTTGGAGAAAATGATGTCTTAATAGGTAATACTGATTTAGTATCATCTTGCTTTGAAGTCCCATCAGGCTTTTGTTCTTCTGTCTCCATTGGTCTAAACAGGTTGTATCTTATTGGATTTTATTATATATGATAGTATAAGCAAAAATTTTTATAGACAAGGAGAATATACAGAAACCATTGTTCATTTTCTGTTAGTTGATTCTAAATACCCTGTAATACTGTCATTCTCTTAAATGGTTTTACATTGTTTTGATATATTTGATGCTACAGTATACGAAGTTATACTCAAAGATTTCAAGGAAAGAGACAATGTGGTAACTAGTTTTATGTTGGGATTATCTTGTGGTGAAACACTATTTTGCTTAAATGGTTATGTTTTGATCTGCACTGTTTTGCTGTTATGCCCTCTTTTATCTCAATCTAAATTTTATTATTTACTTTTTTATTTTTATTCTTTTAATTAAGGGAAAAATAAATAAAAAAAGATATAGTAACCCACTTTGACTTTTCATTATCTTGATTTAAAGCCCTGTATAGCTCTCACCATCTTGTTTTGACTGATGTTCCTCTATTCTGTTTTGCTTGATAGTACCAGGTTCAAAAATTTAGGCAACAGCTGTGAAGATAGTGGGATTCATTATGACGCCCATTCTGGTTGACTATTATCTACTTTTGAAGACCTATAATGTCTCCAATGTTTTGGTTTTGTTGGTTTTGTTCTTTACTGTTTTGTTCAATTTTATTATAACTGATGATATAGGCAATTCTATTTGAGATAGCGGGAGGCATTATGGTAACCATTGTTGATCACCTTGTATTATGCTTTTATATTATCTATTATGTCCACCCTTTTGATTTGACTGACTCTGTTCTGTTATGTCACATTTGGTTCTACTCTCTTCCAAAAAAGTAATAAGAACTGTTGGAGCAACAAAACCCAAAATGTGTAATTGTCATTGTACAAAAGAGAGGAAAAGAAAGTGCTCTAAACGATATAACTGCATGTATATTTAAGTGTATAAGATAGATATAGTTTTGTTGGATCATTCAACAGAACAGTTTGCAGTCTCACTGTTGGAATGTCCACTTTATAAGCTTTAATTTTGTAACTTGAACAATTATTTCTAAGATGACAATATGTAATCCATTAACTAGTGATTTCCTACTGTTTATTTTTTTCTGTAAATCTGTATAACTTGTACCCTTTCTCTGCTTTTTTTTTCTTTTTCTCCTTAAATAAATAAAATTAAAAAACAAAACAAAACTGTGTGTGTGGTTGTGGTTGTACTATGTATTTGAGGGGCTGGGTCCAGGATTTATTACAGATAAAATCTGCAGATGCTTATGCTTCTTTTATAAAATGGTGTAAGATTTGCATATAATCTCTGCCTGTCCTGTATACTTTCCACCACTTCTAGATTACTTCTAGTAGCTGATAGGATTTAAGTGCTATGTAGTGTTATGTTGTCCTGCTTAGACAGTGATGACAAGAAGAGTGTGCATGTGTTCAGTATGCATAGTTTTCTGCAATTATCCAGTCCTTGCTTGGCTGAATCAGCATGTGGAGAATCCATGGATATGGAGGGCCAACTGTATGTATATACATAAGTTGAATACATACGTTTGAGCAGACCTGGGATATCAATTACTAATGCTGTCTGCTTAACTTTAATCAGAATTGTGGATTAAGATTTGTTGATGGTGTGTCATGTAAGTGGTAGAATATTTAGCCTTTTTTTCTTATTCTGGTATGAACGTGTGTGTATACACACACTATATATATACATACACACACGGGACTGAACTACATCCCAGGGTGTACTGTTCCATTGTAGAATTTTGAGATGGGGCGTCACCAGGTTGCTCAGGCTGGGCTCCTGCTTGCCATCCTCTTGTCTCAGTCTCCCAGGGTGCTGAGATTATAGACTGTACCACCGTGCCTACTAGATGTTTCTTTTTATTGATATAGCATTATACCTTCATATTTCTTGTAAAAGGTATATTTGTGTTAGCTAGAGTGAATAGGGGTGAAAAAGGAATAAAATGATAATAATGGAAATACTTGTTTTTATAGTTTACAACTAATCCTGAATCATTTATTGTGAAGAGCTACATTAATTATAGTGAGGTTTTCATCTTGTAAGTTAAAGTAGGAAATGTAATAGAAAGTTTGTAGGTCTCTTTAGCAGAGAATACAATAGTTATAGCAGTTACATTGCCAGGATTTAAGTAGCTAATACAATTTAAGTTGAATGCTGGAGGTGGCTAAAGGTATATTTTGCTGTTATTTCTGGATATTTAAGAACAACAATACGATATCATCTGATTCAAGATCTTACCTTGAATGTTAATATGTTTTTGTTTCTTCTTTTCTGTTCATAGTGGCAGTCGCTCTTCTAAGACTTTTAAACCAAAGAAGAACATCCCGGAGGGTTCTCACCAGTATGAGCTCTTAAAACATGCGGAAGCCACTCTTGGCAGTGGCAACCTCAGGATGGCTGTCATGCTTCCTGAGGGAGAAGATCTAAATGAGTGGGTTGCAGTGAACAGTAAGTAACCTTCTGGCTTCTCTGAATTAGGGTAGTAGTCTCATTGTTGGGCAAGGCTAAGGTGATCATTATTGTAGGATATAGTTAGCAACCTAATACTGTGATACAGTCATACCATAATCTATCTTGAGTCTTTATGGTATTTTGTTTCTGAAAATAAAATGATTTTTGTTTGTTTTTACTTTTTGAGACAGGATCTTGCTGTGTAATTCAGGCTGGCTTTGAACTAGCTAAGTAGCCCAGGCTGGCCTCAAACTCACAGTGATCTTCCTGCCTCAGTCTTCCAAGTACTGCAATTGCAGGCATGCACCATCACACCTGGTTATGTTTAGGTTTTTTTGAGTGTTGCTATGTATTCTAGGATGGCCTTGAACTTGCTATGTAGCTCAGGCTGGTCTTTAATGTGTAGTGATCTGCTTGTCACAGCCTCTTGAATGCTGGGATTATAGGTGTGCACCATCATGTCTAGCTAAAAATGAAGTTTTAAGAAATTGTTATTTGCTTTTACAGTATATTACAAAGCAAATTCAGTATTTTCATTGGGGTAGTATTTGGCAGACGGTAATTATATGTCTGGCACTTGTCTTTTCTTTATGGATCATTTTATGTCATCTTTATAACCTTGTGATATAGGTACTATTCTTATACCTTTTCTAATATATAAAAAAAGCTAAGATAGATTAGTAGCTTGCATAGCTTATACAGATGTTGAATGGCAGGACTCATTTTAGAGTCTCTAACCATTACTTTTTTGTTTTTTGGTACTAGGAATCAAATTATGGACCTTGGGCTTGCCAGGAAGGGTGCTGTGCCACAAAGCTACATCTTCAGCCCAACAATTATCTTAAATTTTCCCTTTCAGTAGTATATTTACTTCTAAATTCAACTTATTTTTTAAAAAGATTTCAGTGGTGGTTTTTTATGAAATTAGTAAAATACGAGATAGCCTCTAACTCCTAGAAATGAAAATGTGTAAGTAAAATACATTCTTGGGAATTTAGTCAGAGTAAGTTGGGGAATAAAAGGTTTGGGGCTTTTAAGCATTGGTGAAGAAATTGATGAGTTTTATAATTGAAGAAAATTTGAATAAATTGAATTAAAATGAGATTTAGTTGAAATCATCTACTATATGTCTAAACTTTATGGAAAAGTGAAATAGTAATTTTTAAAATACTCCATAGTTGGGCTGGGGATTTAATTCAGCGGCATAAGCGCCTGCCTTGCAAGCAGGCAGTTGTGGGTTTGATCCCTGGTACTGATTAAAAAAAATTACTCAATAGTATCTTATAATTTGAAATGTCAGTGATTTATAAATTGAAGTGCTGCTCACTAATAACATTTGCTTTGTAGCTGTGGATTTCTTCAACCAGATCAACATGCTTTATGGAACCATCACAGACTTCTGTACAGAAGAGAGTTGTCCAGTCATGTCAGCTGGGCCAAAGTAAGACACACTGAATGACCAGTCCTCATCTGTGTTCTGTAGTTCTTTAGATTAGAAGGAAGTTTCTGACTACGATTTTGTTTTTCTACTAGGAACTCCTTTAGTCGTTTGCCACCGACTTAATAGATCAAGTCCAGATTCTTTGAGTGTTAGGATTCTCCCTGTGTTGTCTTTCATCCTGCCTTTCTTCTGTATGCTGTTGTATATTCTTTAGTCTATCCAAATTAGCTTATGAAAAAACCTTGCTGTGCCCTCCATTTCTTACTTTCTTGTTTAGTCTTTATGCTTTGGACATTTTTTTGTTTTCCATTTGTCTACCTTCTGTTAGTGTATCAAATCAGATCTTACCTATCTTTAAGGCCTGTATCACCTGGTTTTCCTTGAAGTCTTCTCATTTTTCAGACTAGATGTGATCTATTTAGCTTTTAGGTTTTTTAACCTTTGTAATAATGGCTGTCTTTGCTGTTATACTTCTTATGCTATTTGTCTTTTCTTTTTTTTTTTTTTCCTATGGTGCAGGAGACTGGATCTATGGACTTCTGCATGTTAAGCAAGTGCAGGAGCTCTATTACAGAAGTGCTGTCCTGGCCCATATGTGCATTATTTAACCTTTAGATTTGTTTCTCTTTTAAGTTGCTTTTGGTGCAAGGACATTACTTACCACCTAGTTAACAGTCAATAAATGTTGATTGGACTTAATGCATTTTTGAAATTGGCTTTTATTGTTACTGTTATTAATAACAGTGGCAACTGCTATTTATTTAATGATACCTAAATGTAAGACCTGTCATGGATTATATATTTTATTTCATAACACAACATTCACCACAAAAGTATCTCCTCTGGAACTGTCGCAAAGAAAGAATTTAGTCAGATGAATGAACAAGGAGTTCATAACAAAGGTGCAGTATCAGAACTCATGAAAGATCTAGAGATATGGTAAAGGAGCTCAAACCTGAACTAGCCTCTCAGTAAAGAAAAAGGCACAGCACCTGCCTTGCAAGCAGGCAGTCGTGAGTTTGATCCCCGGTACCGACAAAAGGAAAAAGACCAAAAAAAGAAAAAGGCACAGAGCTGCGACTGGACCTTCCCCTCTTGAGCTTCTAGGGATGAACAGCTGCAGTGAACTCAAAATCCGGTGTCTGTCAGTTCCCTGCTTCCTGCTAGACCTCTCTCTGTGGAGTGAGTTGGGTATTTACCTTGGGGAGCTGTCCTCTGTGGTGGTTGTTTGAAGTGCCTCTTTTTGTCTTTCCTAACCCTATTTGGGTTTACATGAGGAAAAAGGGCATTTAAAAATGGAATTCCTTTTAGCACTTCTTCTGGTTGTATTACTGGTATTTACTTTAGATATTTAAGTTTCACTTGTGAAAGTAGATGTTTTTGGGCTAGGGATTTAGCTCAGTGGCAGAGCGCCTGTCTGGCGAGTGAAAGGTCGTGAGTTCAGTTACTGTACCAAAAAAAATAAGTAGATGTTTTCAATTTTACTGTTACTCTACTTGGTTAATTATGCACTGAGGAGTGAAATAGCATTGCCTTCCAGGAAAGCAAGTTCCTCTGGAATTATTTGAAAGAAGTACTTGGAACAAGAGGTGTTTTAGAGTATGGAATATTTGCATATGCATGAGTATCTTAGGAATGAAACAAGTCTAAGGCTAGAATTCATGTTATGTTTTGTATACATCTTTGTGATGGTTTATCTTGATTGACTTGAAAGATGCTTAGAGTAATAGTAAAGCCACTTGTGAGTGTGTCTAGGAGTCATGGTGGCATGGCCTTGGGGAGCGTATCTGCTCTGTGGCTGCATTCTCTCTGGCTCTTCCCAGCCCCTCCCTGGTTTCTGGCTGCCCTAAATTGAATAGCTTTTCTCCACCACGGCCTTGTGCTGTGATGTCTCTGCTGTGGAGCCCACTGACCACGGGCTGAAAACTCTGGAACTATGAGTCAAGATGCAGGCTTCCTGCTTTAAGTTGTGTATGTTGGGTATTTTGCCCAAGCTACAGAAACTGACCATTACAGCCCAAGATACATAAATTGAAGATAATTTTAAGTGCAGTAATGTTAAGTACTTTTAGTGTACTTGATCTATCATGTGAGGCTAAGTGTGAAATTTCCTACTTGTGCAAGCTTTTCGGCTTTCAAAAATACTTGAAGGTGTGCTCTAAGTGTACTTAGCAGTAGGCTATTACAAAGAAGTATTGAATAATGGCTCACAGGGCTTGGTTCTCAGTTACTGATTATTATTAAAATATAGTGAATGTCTTGAAGTTGTAGTTTACAAATTCATGCTATGGAGAGAAGATAGAACTATATAATGAAGGAAATTATTTTAAGTATAAATGTAAAAAGTAGGGGTTCATTGTTTTTAACTCTAGAAGTATCAGCAATTGGTGTTTTATTTTTCAAAAAAAATAGAAAGTTGATTCCTTTAAACAAAAAAACTTCAGTTTATTTAATATGATTCTTCAGTTTAGTGTATTTCTTCACTTTTACACCTGAAAATCATTAAAAAGATAAAAAAAACTTGATTGTGAGGGTAAAATATTAAGATTTCTTTACATAAACATGATGAATTCCTTTTTTTGGATTCAGTCTCTCACCAGGCTGGCCTTGAACTCACTATGCAGCCCTGATGGCCTTGAACTCTTACGGGATCCTCCTGCTTTAGCCTCCCAAGTGCTGGGATCATAGGTGTGTGCCACACGCCAGCTGAATTCCTATTTCCTAAATGAAGAATAATGGTGATTAGACGTAGGTCTTTATTGCCGAAGATGTTTAAAAGTTATTCTTTCTCCAAAGAAGATCAAACAAGTAGAGAACTAGTTTTAAATTACATTGAAGACTTTAGTTTATAATGGGAAGACTTTTCTTTGGGAAGGTGATTAATCATTGCAGCATGACATTAAGAAGTGTTGGGAAATCTCCCTTGGAGACCTTCAAAATGAACTTGACAGTCATTCCTGTTGCTGAGCTTTGGCAATAAGGTACTCCACAGAATGTTTCGTCTAGAGTTATTGTTTAGACATAAGTAGTTATAATTAAGTAGAAAGTATCATTCTATCTCAAGGTAATTTTTATCATTTAGAATACCCTAAGGTGTTTACCTTAATTTTGGAGTTTCATTTCATGTTTCTTTGTCTTTGTCTTTGTCTTTGTGTGTGTGACACTATTTTCTGTTTCTCAGTTTTTGAGGCAGAATCTGACTGTGTAGTCGAGGCTGGCTTGAACTTGCAGTGATCTTCCTGCCTCAGGCTCCTGAGTGCTGGAGGTCCCCAGCTTTTTACTTGTAAAAAATTTTCAATTACACTAGTTCTTTTTGAGAGTGGTGAAGTGTCCTTCATTTAAGCTTGACTTGCTCTTAATATTGAATTCCTTACATGATATTTAAATGTTCACTAAATAAAGGATCATATTCTGTTGATACCCATACCTAGGAGCATCTTTGAGTTGCAGATTTTCTGTGAGCGCATGTTTGGCTCCTCAGCCAAGTATACTGAAATATTGAATCATTCTCATTTTTGTTAGTCTTATGTTGGAGTCTTTGTGTCATTCTGCATCCTTTACATAGAAGCTGCAAGTTAAAAAGAATTGTACTGCATAAGGAAAATTCCATTAAATGGAAAAATCCCATTAAATTCAGGGGTAGCATAGAACTAGGAAGTAAACAAGCTTTATTTATTTATTTTTTACTATACTAATATATGATTCTACCTGATATGAGGGAAAGCTTAGAAAGAAAGTTCAGACACAAAGTGTGTAAACATAAAGGTGAGTTGGTGGAGTCGGCTTGGCTTGGATTGTAATGTAGTTCACTGGCAACTTAAAATACTACATACCTGACGGAGCAAAGATGGCAGATAGACAACAGCAGGCTACAGCAGCTCCCTGAGATAGTCAACTTAGAATTCACCATAATATAGCGAGGGGAACCCCGAACAGAGGGAGATGAATTCTCTTGTCCCAAGAAGAAACTAAGGTGAGAAGAACCAATCAAACATAACAGTCCCAGTGCTATTATTGAAATAGCTATAGGTTCAGTGCTCCTGACGCAGCAGGCAACTTGCTGAGCCATCTGAGGTCCTGCTGCTTCGACTCACTGGAGGCGCAGTCACACTGAGGTCAGGAGTTGGCTAGCCAAAGGGCAGCAGAGCTGGCAGGGAGCCTACATCGACCTGTGGTGAGTGACGGGAGTGGAGCCATTCCATAGAAAGGGGGGCTCTGGTGGATGACATTCTGGGACCGGGCAGGACTGGCATGTGCAAAGGGCAGCAGTGACTTCAGTCAGTTGTTCCCTTCCTGAACGAGATTAGTGGAGTGAGCTAGGCCTGGGTCACATGACCTGGCTGAGACCTAATAGGTTATCCGAAATCAATTTGTTACGTGGCAGTGCACACTAACCACACTAATGCATTGAAGCCTCAGAAGTTTGACAGATCTGGAGGGGATGCGGCGAATAGTAATACAGTGCAGTCCTCCAGCAGCTTGACTGATCTGAAGAGGAGGAGCCAGCATACGCTGTCCCTGTCTTCAACTCACTAGCACAATGCAGTAGTGCTTCAGAAGAACTGTAACCAACAAAGAAAGAAACTGGAGCCTCCTGGAAGAAACCAAAAAGATGGGAAGGGGAAGCAACAACAAAAAGTCCCCCCCCCCCCAACCCTAAGAACACTGACTCAGGACAGGTAAATACAAAGGAGAATGAGAACAGCAAACATGCAATACATGGCAGCACGGCACCAGTGGACATAAAGAGATATCTTTGGAACCTCATAGGTGAGTTCAAAAGTGAAATAGTTAGCCAAGTAAAGCAAGATATAAGAAGATTAATAAAAGAGAGGCTAAGCACCCCTCAAGCAGACACAGATGGAAGAAGGGAGAAACTCAAAGGAGAGAACCATTTGAGGAAGAATATAAACAAAATGTAGACTACATGAAGCAGATTCAAAGAGATTACCAGGAGATTAAAAACTATGGAAAGATGGCAGATCTGCTTGAAAGAAACTAAGGATAGATTATCCGAACTGGAGGACAGTTTTGCAATGTGAAATTATGAAAGGAAAAACTTTTTAAAAATAACAAGGAAACAAGCAGTAACAATACAAAGGCTAGAAGATGACAAGATCTATAACTTGAGAATAAAGAATGTGAATGAAGAAGCAGAGATTCAAACAAAGTAACTACAAAGGCTAGTCATGGTAATAATTAAGGAAAACTTACCAAACATAAGAACAGGAAATGATATTCGAATGTATGAGGCGTACAGAACTCCAGCCACCTACAACCAAAACAGAGCTACACCCAGGCATATCATAATCAAGATCCCAAGAATTCAGTATAATAACAGCATATTAAAAGCTGTTAGAGATAAGAAACAGATCACTTATAAATGAAGGCCCATCAGAATTACGGCAGACTTCTTGACACAAACCATCAAGTCAAGAAGAACCTGGAGTGAAATATTCCAAACCCTGAAAGAAAATAACCTCCAGCCCAGGTTGATGTACCCTGCTAAACTGTCTCTAGAAACTAATGGAGAAACAAGATACGTCTAAGACAAAGAGGAACTTGGGAAATTCACAGCCACCAATCCAACTCTATAGAGAATACTGCAGGGCATTCTAGAGAGAGAAAAGTACTAGGATTCCAGGAATAGTGGCAGAAAATCCTCAATGAATGGAGTAGAAAACAGAATGAAGAAGATAAGCAGACAACTGATGGCAAAAAAAAGCATAACAGAAATAAGGCAGAGAAAGTTGGTTATAATCTCTAATATAGATGGCCTTGATACACTAAATTAAAAAAAAAAAACCATATGTGGAGTAGATCAGGAGGCAGGGTCCACCGAGATGCTATTTATAGGAAATATAATTAACATGAAAAAGAGTCCATGGACTGAAAAGCAAATATGAGAAAGCAATGCTCTATGTGACAGAGAACCAGAGAGTAATAGGGGAAACTAGACCAGTATTTGTGGATAGGTTGGAAAGACAGGCTTTAATAGGTAAAGGAATACAATTAGAGATCAAGTCCAGGAGACAGAAGGTTTGGAAGCACTTAGGTAAATAGCAGGTTGTCCCTCCTACCTAATTTAAAACCAAGGGTCTTGCTCAGACCCAAAAATGCACAGTGTACCCTGGGGAAGTGAAAGAGGAGGGAGAGTCTTAAAAAAGGTGGCAGAAGATATTGTTAATAGTGTATCAGAATTTAAAACCCACATTACTCGCACTACTCTGCTTAGATAGATTTTATTCTTTTTTTTTGATAGGTTTTAATCTGTCCCAGTTTGTCTACTTGCATTAGATTTGAGGGCACAGACAGCTATCCCAGAAACATCAGGATATAGCACAGTAGTCATCTTTGATTTCCTATTATTGTAATCTGGAGCCCTGTATGACTTATACTGTTTTATCATGACTGATCTTAGTTAAATCTGGTTTGTTTGATTGCTATTTGGTATTGACAGATTTTATTCAAAACTGATATGATTGATCGTATCAAGTCTGAGAGTACAGGCAACTACACTGAAGATGACAAGACTCTATGATACACATTCTGGTTTGATAACTGCCTGCTTTTGAAGTTTTATACTATATACAAAATTGTGTTTTTATTAATACTGTTATATACTGATACATTCAATTATACTATGTCTGATGATATAGCCAGTTCTATTGAAGATAACAAGAGACAACCCAGGAACTATGGTAGAACTCCTTGTACAATGGTCTTATATGTCTTTTTCATTTCATGTGTTTATAGGAATATGTTTTGTTTTGTCTTGCTTTGTTTTGTTTTTCCCTCTAACAAAGGAAGGATTAGAAATACATGTTAAGACTCATGCATGTGTAGAATCTACAAACAGTTTATGAGAACTGATCTTATGACACATGATGAAATGAACAGATACTTTAAAGAAAAAAAGACGTTGAAGTACTCAGTGCTGATCCTGGAATGTCATAATGTGAAACCCAGCAATAGTACTATTCTTTGTTCAGAGTGACATTAGACTGCTTGGGTTTGTTCAATCTCAACATAACTGAAGATATGGATAACTCCATGTATAAGTGTATAGGATTGATAACCATATTTATAAGTTTTTGTTGGATAATTGAACAGAACTGGTTGCAGTCTTACTGTTTGAATCCCCACTTTATATGCTCCACTTTAGTATTTTGAATAACTGTTTATAAGAGGACAATCTGTAATCATCAACTAGTGATTTCTTACTGTTTATTTTTTTCTTTGAAAGTATGTATTATTTCTACGTGTTTTCTGTTTCGTTTAGTCTTTCTTTAAATAAAATTTTTAAAAAAGACACTATAGTACCCAGTGCTGATTGCAGAGTGTCATGATGTGAAATCCAGCAATACTATTATTTCTTTGTTCAGAATGACTTTAGCCTCCTTTAGTTTGTTTAATCCCAATATAAATGAAGATATGGATAACTGCATGTATGTTTAAGTATATAGGATTGACAACTATATTACTAAGTTTTTGTTGGATAGTTGAACAGAACTGTTTGCAGTTTCGCTGTTTGTATGTACCACTGTTGCATCTTGAACGACTTTTTGTAAAAGGACAGTATGTAAACATTAACTAGTGATTTCCTACTGTTTATTTTTTCTCCAAACATAAGTATTATTTCTACCCATTTTCTGTTTTGCTTAGTCTTTCTTTAAATAAAAGTTTTAGAAAAACTTGAAAAAAATATTGTGTACCTTATTTGGAGGAGCAGATTGTTTAACACTTGTCTGTATATATAGTATACCTATATAAAGAATGTAAAAATACTTCTTCTCTATTTGATATTCTGTGTGCCTTTTATCTTTTCATTGCAGATACGAGTATCATTGGGCAGATGGAACAAACATAAAGAAACCTATTAAGTGCTCTGCACCAAAGTATATTGATTATCTGATGACGTGGGTCCAAGATCAGTTGGATGATGAGACATTATTTCCATCAAAAATTGGTATAATTATTTTACATAATTGGGACCTCTCCTAGTCTACCTGATTTCTAGAATTGTTTTCATTTTTCTCACCCTGACTAGCTGGAGAACTCTACAGGGCTGCGTTGATGTATGTGTATGTTACAGTTTCCAAACAGGGTGCAAGGTTTGTTAACCGTCATAAAATAAGCAAGTTATCCTGTGTAAATTGGTTTTTTTTTTTCATCTTTTAACTTAGTATTTTTAAATCCTTAACTAGTTAAAAGAATAGGTTTAATAAGCCAGGTGTGGTGGGCAAGCTTGTAATCCCAGTAGTTGAGGGGCTGAGGCAGGAGGATCTTTGCAAGTTTGACACCAGCCTGGGCTATACAGTGAGGTCAAGGCCAGCCTGAACTGAATAGTGAGACCATGTCTCAAAAGGACCCCCCCCCACAAAGAGTAGATTTATCAGAAGTTAAGCATTTTAGTTGTTAGATTTTTGGTGATTTTCCTGAGTAAAATGTTACTCAACTGTTATTTAATAATTGTGAAGATCAAGTTAATCCTTTTATTAGAGGGCTCTAGATAGAGGTTTGTTCCTATTCCAGAATTATACAACGTTAGTGTATCTTTCAAAATACTTCGAGTACCAAAAAAGAAAAAAAAAGGTGTCCTATTTTTTTTTTTTTTAAAGACAGAGTCTTGCTGAGTAGTTCAGGCTGGCCTTGAAGTCACTATGTAGCCCAGGCTGGCATCAAACTCCTAAGTAATCCTCCTGCCTCAGCCTCCAGAATGCTGGAATAACAGGCATGCAGCACCATACCTGGTTTTATTTTTTTAGACCAAATTTATTGTGCACACTGAGACAACCCTCTCTATACTTTTAATTGAGAGTGATAGCACAGTAACAGAATCTTGTAGTATGTCTTCCAGACTTTTTTTTGTTTGTTTTATTTCCTGTTGTTATCTTTGGTGTGGAATATGTATACTGCAGCGCTTTTTGGTCTTTCATGAAATTGTTAACTTTGAACAGTGCACATTATTTTATAGAATACTCTTTTATTTAGGTTTATTTTCTGTTTTCTTACGACTTACAGTTTTCAGTGCGCAGTGGGCTATGTTAAGACATTAAACCTAGGAGTACTCGTATTTGGGTATTATGCCAGTCTGGATCAGTTAGCCAGTTTAAGAACATAACTTTTTAATTTTTAAAAAATTTAATGTGCATCTTTAAGGTATATAATATGTTGGAAGATATACTGATATAGATACTTGTCTTAGTTACTTTTGACTCATCACTGAGACAAAATACCTGATGCCCAAGTTGGGAAAGGAAAGGTTTCTTTCTTACAGTTTTTAGTATATACTCAGTTGGCTCCAAGGCAGGGTGGCATGGCGGGCCCACAGTTCATGGCAGCTGCAAACAGCAAGGCAGAAACTGGCTAGAGAGAGAGATACACATTTTCCTGCCATTACACTGTATGCTGGCTCCACTCCTCGGTGGGTGTAACACTGAGGCCATCAATCTAAGCGCTAGACAATGAATCAATCACAAATCACAATGCAAGTGCATGAGCCTGGGGCCACAGACATAAACCATGACATACCTCATGAAACAGTTATATTAGTGAAACAAATTAACGCACCTGTTATCTCACAATAACCCAGTACCCCTCATCAGTGGTGAAAGCATCTGTGCTCATTTAATGAAACCTTAATACGCTGCATTACTGTTATTACAGCCTTCATCTTGTGCAGGAGATCTTTAGTCTTGCTCATCCTGTCTGCCACTTTTGTGTCCTCTGACCTACATCTCCTCATATTCCACCTGCACCTCTGATAACTAGTTTTATTTTCTCTATGAATTTAATCTTTCTTTCCTCAGTGTAAGTGAGACTGCAGTATTTTTCCTACTGTGCCTGGCTTATGCTTAGCATAATGTTTTCTACATCCATGCATGGTGTGGTACGAAGCAGGGTCTCTGCCTTTGTAAGGCTGATGAAGACTGTTTCCATGAGGGGCGTCTCTCACAAGTTCCTCACCTGTTTGTCTGTTGACAGACATCTAGGTGGTTTCCCTGTGGTGCCAGGTGTGCATAATGCTGCAGTGAACACACCAGTGCAGAGATTTGTGACATGCTGATTTCATTTCCTCTGGGTGTATACTGCCCAGAAGGATGGTTGCCGAGGCCTGTGGCAATTCTTTTCTTTAGGACCCTTCATACTGTTTTCCAGAATGGCTTACCAATCTACATTCCAGTGATAGTGTATAGGGATGCCCTTTTTTCCACAGGGATTATATATTTTTTCTAGTTTTATATCTGTTTAGGGCTGTAAAATTGCTGTAATTCACAAAATAAAGAACCTAAATGAACAGAAATTGCAGTTATTTTGGGGACCAATATAGACCTGGAGTAGTAATGAAATAATTTATACAGAAAAAGTCTGAAATATCTTACAAGCATCTTAAAGAGACTAAACACAGACAGTGTGTTCCTATATTAATATTCAGCACATGTTTGTTTGAAGGCTCAATGTTAAGAAGCCCATTTCATTTCAGTGAAGTGGTAGTGTGTTAGGGATATAGCAGGATCTAATAATGAACTAGTTCTTACTCTACAGAAATGAGTTTATTTTGATTGTATGTTGAGAATATCATTATATAGCAGGAATATAAAGTCATAATTCATAAATACCACTTCTTTTCAGCCATGTCTTAGCAATTTATGTTATATTGCTGACAAAATCATGTTGCCTCATTTTTTTCTTGTTTAATAGAGGGTGGTGTTTATCTCTTTACAGGTGTTCCATTCCCAAAAAACTTCATGTCTGTGGCAAAAACCATCCTCAAGCGTCTCTTCAGGGTCTATGCTCACATTTATCACCAGCACTTTGACCCTGTAATCCAGCTTCAGGAGGAAGCACATCTCAATACATCTTTCAAGCACTTTATATTTTTTGTCCAGGTGAGTGGGATTAAGAGGCCATTACTGTTTAGTGCAGTAGTTGGAAACCTATCACATGCACAGTATTTGTTTTTAAGACAGAAGATATAAATGTACGAGTTACTTTTTCTAAACTAAAATCTCAGTATTCAGGTTTAATGTAGCATTGGTGCTTTGCAGTAAGTGGGTTTTAGGCTATGGTTTGGACACTTGTCTCTAAAAGATTTGCCATTGCTGCCTGTACTGTCAGAGCACTGTGGTTTGAAGACTGTGCACATACTGTCAAGATAGAACTTGCCATGTTCTCTGCATCGCCTGTGGCTGCTTGCTTACCCTCTCCCCTGTCCCCTCTCTCTTCTTCGTTCACCTCACTTCTTTTCTCTTTTCGTTTCTTTTCTTTCCTCTTTTCTCCCTTCCCTTCCCTTCCCTTCTTTCTTTCCTCTTTCCTTTCTTGTCCTGTCCCTTTCCCTTTCCATTTCTGTACCAGAAATTGAATGTAGGACCTTGTGCTGGCCAGGCAGGCCCTGTGCCACTCAGCTGTACCCCTGACCTGTCTGCACTTTCTAGGGTAAAAAGGCTGGCCTTCTGTTTCTGAGTTCATTAGTCCCAGGTTGATGGCAGGCAAATCTCAAGTGGATCTGAGAAGTTTGCTTTGAATTTGCTTCCGTTCCTGGGCCATGTGGAGGGGCTGGAAAAGGAAGCCAACTAGTTGGACAGAGCTATAGATGAACTTGGTCTCGTGAGCACTTTAGTACTCTGTGTCCTCTAACCTTGTGTTTGTATCACACCCTTTTTGTTCTCTCTCGTTTTCAAATCACATTCTAAGTAAGTATAAGTAAGATGGAAGAAAAATCCAGTGTTTCTTCTTGAGGTCCAGTAATCCTTAATCTAACTTGCTAGTTTACTTTCTCTTTCTTTAATCCTCAAAAGAACTCGCCTTAGCAATGTGGGTTATGATTAGTGTGAGTATTATTACCTAATTCTCTAATTAGAGAAATAATAAGCAAAACAGTGTTGAAATGAATGGGGCTGACCAGTTTGTGTATGTATGTATGCATGTATATATGTATGTAATTTGGTGTAGAGGTCAAGAGCAGAAGGCTGAAAGAAACGCATGGTGTGAAATGATGTTTATTTGTATCTGTGGGCATGTGTGCATCAATGCCTTCATCACTTCTCATGTGCACTGGAGCAAAATGTGTCCATTTTCCCTTTATGCATTCTTCTCACACTGAAGGCATACATTTTAATCTCAGTTTCACTATAAAGCACTCTTTTAGATGCTATGATTTGCTAAAACGTGTTTTGAAGGATTACTTTACTGGACTACTCACTCTGTGGACCCACAGGGACACAGAAATCATCCTAGAGGCTGGATCTATGCCATGATGTGGGTAGAGCAGGATTGCTGAAGATAAGGTTTTAGTGGTTTAGAAGAGTATATTCTTGGGAGAGAAAAGATGGCGAATAACAGCGGCTACAGAGGCTCTCTAAGATAGACAACTTAGATTCCAAAAATAATACAGTGTGGGGAGTCCCAAACAGAGGGAGATACACCATGCCGACCCAGGAACGAACTAAGCTGAGAGAAATCAATTAAAAATACAGTTCCAGTGCTATGATTGGAACAGCTAAAGTCTCGGTGCCACTGCTGGAACTTGCAGCTTGAATACCCTGCTGCTGCTGTGCCTGAATTGGTGCAACCGGGATAGCCTGCTAGTTTCAACTTAGTGGAGACGCGAATGTTCTGAGAGTGGGAAGCGGTGAACCGAATTGAGAGCAGAGCTGGCAGGAAACCCTGCATCAACCGGCAGTGAGTGAGGAGAATAAAAACCCTTCCATAGACAAAGAGGCTCCAACAGATGATATTCTGGGACTGGGCAGACTGGCCAGAACAAGGGACTGCGGTGACTTCAGTCCCATATTTCCCTCTCAAGCGGGATTGGTGGGGAGTGCTTGACCTGGGTGATGCCATGGACAGAGGCCCAATAGGCTAGCTCTAAGCAAGTCCCTACCGGATAGTGCACCCTAATGCAGTGAATCCTTTAGTAGGTTGACCTGGAGAGACGGGCCCCACATAGGCTGCCTGGGTCTGTACCTCCTAATACACTGCAGTGGGCAGGACCACTTAGCATGCTTCAGACAAACTGAAACTAACAAAGAAACTGGGCCTCCTATATATGCCTGTATGGAAGGAACAAAAAATATGAGAAGAGGAGGCAACTAGAAAGGGTCCTCAGTCCCCAATCCGAGAACACTGGATCCAGGAAAGGTGAATGCAAAGGAGAGTGAGGACAGAAAACACAATATCAGGCATGGCACCAACAGACATAAAGCAGTATCTTTGGGACCTCATAGATGAGTTCAAAAGTGAAGTATTTAACCAAGTAAAGCAAGATATAAATAGAATAATTAAAGAAATGCTAAGCACCTCCCAAGAAAAGACAGATGGTAGAATGGAAGAACAAAAAAAAGGGGAGAATTGTTTGATGGAGAAAATAGAGAAAACAGAATACATGAAGCAGGTTCAAAGAGATTACCAGGAAACTAAAAACTGTTGAAAGCTGACATAATAGCTTGAAAGAAACTAAGTATAGATTATCCGAATGGGAGGATAGGTTTGTAATGTGGGAACATGAAAGGAAAAACTTAAAAACAACAAGGAAACAAGCAGTAACAATACAAAGGCTAGAAGATAACAAGAGGATCTATAACTTAAGAATAAAGAATGTGAATGAAGAAGCAGGGTTACAAACAAAGGAACTGCAAAGGCTATTCACAGAAATACTTAAGGAAAACTTCCCAAACATAGGAAAAGGAAAAGATGCTCAGATAGATGAGGCATACAGAACTCCAGGCACCTACAATCAAAACAGAACTACACCCAGGCATATAATCATCAAGATTCCAGAATCCAATATAAGAACAGAATATTAAAAGCTGTCAGAGACAAGAAACAGATCACTTACAAGGGAATACCCATCAGAATTACAACAGACTTCTTAGCACAAACCATCAAATTTAGAAGAGTGTGGGGTGAAATAATACAAGCCTTGAGAGACAATAACCTCCAGCTGAGATTGATATATCCTGCACAATTGTCCCTAGAAATTAATGGAGAAACAAGATGCTTTCAAGATAAAGAGGAACTGGGGAATTTGCAACCACCAACCCAACTCTACAGAGAATACTATAGGACATTCTAAAGAGAGAAAAGCACAAAGATTTCAGGAACAGTGGCAGAGAGGCCCCAACAAATGGGACAAAAAGCGAAATAAAGAAGACAGACAACTGATGATGGAAAATAAGAAATGAGGTAGAGAAGGTTGGGTATAATTTCTAATATAGATAGCCTAGATATACCAACGTAAGGGAAAAAAGAGAATCGCAGGCAGAGTGGATCAAGAGGTAGGGTCCACTGAGAGGCTCTGTATAGGAAATATAATTAGCCTGAAGAAGGTTACATGGACCAAAATCAAATATGAGAAAATGGAACTCAATGTGATAGGGAACCAGAGAGAAATAGGGTTTACTGGACCATTATTTATGGATAGGTTGAACAGACAGGCTTTAATAAGTAAAGAAATATAACTAGAAATCCAGTCCAGGAGTGAGAAAGTTCAGAAACACTTAGGTAAATAGCAGGTTGTGCCCCTCCAATATAAAATCGTGAGTGTTGGGGAGACCCAAAAATACACAGTTCATCCTGGGGGAGTGAAAGGGGAGGAGTAGTCTTCAAAAAAAAAAAAAAAGCCAGAAGATATAGCTAATAGTGTATCAGGAATTAGAACTCTTATTACTCGCACCACTCTGCTTGGATGGAACTTGATCCTAGTTTGTATACAAACACTGGATCTGAGGGCACAGACAGCTGCCCCGAAGATACGAGGACACAGCACAGTGGTCATCTTTAATTTCCTAGTAACTCAATCAGGATACCTGTATGACTTATACTGTTGTATCATGACTGATCTTAGTTAAATCTGACTTGTTTGATTGCTGCTGCTTATTGATAGATTTTATTCAAAACTGTTAGGTTGCTGGTATCAAGTTGAGTATAGATAACTATACTGAAAATGACAATGATTCACTACGATGTCCATTCTGATTTTATTACCTGTTTTTGTAGCTCTACACTATCTACAAAGTTGTATTTCTATTAATTCTGCTATGTACTGATATATTCAATTATACTTTATCTGATGATATAGCCAATTCTGTTGATAATAACAATAAACAGCACAGTGACCATGGTATAACTCCTTATACAGCGGTTTTATTTGTCTTTTTAGTTTTATGTGTCTATAGGAATATGTTTAGTTCTGTTTCTTCCTCTAATATAGAAAGGATAGAAATACATGTTAAGACTCACGCTTGCATAAAACCTATAAACAGTGTATAAAAACTGATCTTATGACACATGATGAAATGAACAAATACTCTGAAAGAAAGAAAGGGGCACTGCAGTACCCAGTGCTGATTCCGGAGTGTTATGATGTGAAATCCAGCAATATTATTAATCTTTGTTCAGAAGGATTTTAATCTAATAAGTTTAGTTAAGTCTCAACATAAATGAAGATATGGATAAATGCGTACATGTCTAAGTGTATAGGATTGATAGCCATATTACTTAGTTTTTGTTGGATAGTTGAACAGAACTGTTTGCAGTCTCCCTGGATGAATTCCTATTTATATGTTCCACTTTTGTATCTTGAACAACTATTTGTGGGGGGACAATATGTATACATCAACTAGTGATTTATTACTGTTTATTTCTTTTCTTTGAAAGTATGTATTATTTCTGCCCGTTTTCTACTTTATTTTGTCTTTCTTTAAATAATAATTAAAAAAGAAGAGTATATTCTCCCGGCACAAGGGTTAGTTTTACTTTGCTCTGTAGTTACAGAGTACACTATATTTTTAAATCCTAGAAAATAATAGGGAATTGATGTATAGCATTTACCATATCTGATCATAATGACATATCAAGACACTGTAAACTTACTGGTTACACAGTAATATTCTTTGATTAAGAGTGATACTCCCCTGGACCAGCAACTTAAAAAATCTTGCTCTAGTCCTTCTTCAGTTGCAAATGAGGACTCCACAGGGCCAAGACATACTTAACAAGATCCTTTCTGGGGTATTCTGGGGTATCCTGGGAAACCTGAGATCTGAGAATTCCTTGCCTATGTGGTCCCAAGTATACCAACAAGGGCTGTGAATCTTTTCCTTGAGTCCATTCTTTGGAGGGTAGAACACACCTCTGATAGTTGGAGGAGTAGCCAGATGACAGGTTTTTTGGGAAGGATATGTGGACCTTACCCATGAGTGTGATCAGGGTCTCTATTAATCCTTGGTTGCATGAGGCACCCCCAGGTCCAGGAGAGCTCAGTGTTAGAAGAGCAGAGGTTTTCCTGAGGACTCCTCTTTTATTACTTTCTGTGTAGTAACCTGAGGATTTTTAAGAATTATAAATGTGAATGTTTTCCTGATCACTATAAAGTAAAAGCATAGAATGACTTGTTCAAATCATCAGCTTACTGTGAATTTAACCCTTGGTCATGTGACATGTAACCCTTTGTGTTCTCAGTCTAGACTTCACATATCTTAGGAGTGAAGCTGCTATTTAGTGCACCATAATGCTTCTCCATTATTACTGCATTGTTTGACATATGTAATAAATGAATTAAATTGGGAATTGAGAATGACAAGAGTGAAACTTTCTGTTTTTGATACTGAGGTGAAACACAGATTAGGTGCTGCAAGTGTAGCTGAGTGGAAGAGGGTATGCCTAGCATTAGGAAACCCTCGGTTCAGTCCCCAGTCCCCAGAAAGAAAAAGGCTCAAATTAAACTCAGTTCTCCTGTGTTCTTTGCAGAATTTTATCATTCGTGTATTCATTCATGTTCTCATACCACATCTTAGGAGAGCCTAGATATATTTATTTACTGTCAAATTTTTATTCTTCAGATACTGCCCAAGTTTGCCTGATAAGTCACATTTTTTTATCCCTACTTGGTTGATACATTAAAATGGTGCCTAGGTTATTTATTTAAAAAATAAGCAGCAACTCCCATGTGTTAAATATTACTTTGTGCCAGGAATTACATAAAATGGCTAACATCCATCATTATATTTAGTCCTTGTTTTCATGAGGGTAGGATTTAATCTTAATATTACAGATATCAAAACATAACATCAGGAGTGGTTGAATGATTTGCATAGGACACAGAGCAAATACCAAAAAATTTTTTTCACATCTACTTTTGTTTACTTCAGAAGTTAATTTTCAGCAAATATTAATTGGAGTCTGCTGTGAAATTAGAGGAAAATAATGTTTTTGCTATTTGTTTTGTCTTCTTTCTGCATAGGAGTTCAACCTTATAGATAGAAGAGAACTTGCACCACTCCAAGAACTGATTGAAAAACTCACCTCAAAGGACAGATAAAAGAACACAGAGCTGTGCAAACTGTTCCTCAAACGAAGCTGTGTGGAGTGTATTTGGGGTTTTTGTCATATTTTATCTGTTTTGTCTTGGGTTTGGGTGGCTTGCTTAAGTTCCCTTTTTTTAATTTTGAATATTTGAAAACATGCTCTATTGATAGAAGAAGCCAAGAACCATTCTCTCCATTGAAAGGGGATACATTTTGTCTAGTGGCATACAGTATTTTTTTTAAAAATGATTTTGGTTACTTGACCAGTTTTAATAAGACCATGTGCTGGAAGAAAAAGTTTGCTGATGGATGGGATTCTGTGTTGTATAAATTGTGACACATGGTGAAGTCCCCAGGAGACTTATGTTTTTAAGTGCCTTGGCGGGTTCACTTCTGAGATGCAAAGCACAGAAAAACTGAACAAGGCTTGAAACAATACTAGGATTACTATCCAGGGCACTTACTGGTGCATGCTTGTAAAATAATCTATGATAAAAGCCATAGTTTACCTAAATTGGTGTTCTCCAGCTTTTCCTACATTGAAGAAACATGATTTGTAAAGGTATGCATGTAGAACATAAAAATTAGTATTTCTTAGTTATTTTTGATATCAACAGTAATATATTCTGTTTAAGCAACAAATGCTTAAAGTTCTATACCGGGTCTTTTTCCATCTTTTAAAAGCTGTGATATTTAAATTTGAGGATGTTAAAATATAGTACATATTGCCTTTTGGCTTCTTTCTATGTGTTGACTGCACTGTGGTGTCTTTCTACATGTTAACCGTGGGTGTAAAACTTCAGGTTATATATATAGAATTGCCATCTTCAGAGGTGATGCTGAACTGTGAGGTTTCTTAGCAATTGCCAAATGAGCCATAAGTCTGCAGAATAACCACCTACTTTGAAAAGTAGGGGATAGAGAGTATGTTTGGCTGGGGAAAGGAATTAGTTTGTATGGGGAGTTAGGATGGAATTAAATATGGGGGATTAGCTGGGGATTTAGCTCAGCAGCATAAGCTGAGCTCATAACCTTGGCAAGCGCAAGGTTATGAGTTTGATCCCCGGTACCAAAAAGGGGGGGGGATTAAGTTCTAGGAAGTTCTCTTTTAAAACTCTTCAATAAAACTGATGTTAAGATTTTAATCAATTACTTGTAAGCAGAATCTTACAGACTGCCTTTTAGGAATCAACTTCCAAGTTAAGAATGCATTATTGGTTTTAGGTAAAGATATTAAGCATGGATTTAAGGACCATCTGGAAAAACTGATCACTTTTTTAGTATTTCCATTCAGTGAATGGAGCTGGTATTTCCTGTCATTTTAAAATGATGTATAGTACCTTCTTTGCATATCATAGGCTGAGTTTCAAGTATTCTGAATTGAGAAATACCCATCAGACTTCCAATTTTAGTTTTATTAATTTTGGTAACTTTGTTTTCTTTAGTTAGAAATGTGTTAGATTCCTCCAGTTAGAAACATGCTTGTAGAATAGAAGTGTTTGCTCTGATGGATTACTAATGCCTAGGAGAAAAGAAAATAAGTTTGTTCTTGTCATTAACAAGTAGAGTAGTGATGCAGTTTGATACTTTTACAATCCACATCACCAGGAACTGCCTTTTTCTCCATTCATTCCTAGCAATTAATGCAGTAAGTACCAACAGTAAAGTAACAGGAGAGCCTGACAGAGCAGATATATTGATGCTTACTGGTAATGCTTATTTGTATAATGCAGTGACAAAAACTAGCAGATTTTCTTAAACTTTTAGAACACAGCAAATAATAGTGACCACTGTGGGCTGGTTCAGAAATAAAATTCGGTGGCACGATTTTTGAGGAAATGAAACAGAATTCCTCAATTAGTCTTCCATATTGAATAATTTCCTGTCAGTCTCTTAGCAAAGGATTGCAGTAGCCAAATACAGAGAGAATAGAAGACTTATTCTTGTTCATTTAACCCTTATAAAGTAGTAGTATACTGCAGAAATGGAAAAATACTTCCACAAATTAAAATTTGGTAGGAGGATGTACTTTCCCACTGTATGTGGAAAGGAATTTGTTTTTACTTTGCCAGAGTCTCACGTGCCTGTTTCTGAATATTCATTTACTCAGTTACTGAGAAGCAAGGATACACGTATGTTTATATGTGCTTACAAGGAAGTTTCCCAGGGAGGCGCTTAACATTGTACATGGTGGTAGGTGGCTGTAGTGAGGAAATACTCACTAGCGCAGATGAAAAGAACTGACTTTAAAATAAAGTTGCTTTGCTGTAGTTGTTTTCCACCTGTAAAAGTTGGGAAGATACTCTTTGCAAAATAAGGATCAAAGCTTGATGTTAGAGGAGAGTGTGCTTATAAATGTCTATTTAGATTCTTTTCAGATCTCTACTTAATTTATAAATAACCAAGTAAATTATTTCCTCCCTTTCTTTATACAGAGTTACAAAGCAGAGATTTTTCTCGTCCTTTTTGATTTCAGGATCTCATGAAATATAAAGTAGTGAGTTGACAAGGTGTCATTATTTTTTTGACAAGGTATTATTGGCACTCCTAATAACTTTGGTTAAATGTTGATGTGATACAAGTTTGAAGAATTATTTTAAGTGGTGGTGGTGGTGGTTGTGGTGGTGGAAAAAAATTAATTCCAGAAAGAGCAAAATTTTTAAAATTAGCTACAATAGATGATGCTCCTGGCTTTCAATTGCTGGCCTCCATTTCCCATAAAGCTGTGTAGGCCACGTTAAAACAGTTATGTGTGTATTATTTAGCTGATGGCTTTGGAGGATAACTTAGATGAAAATGTACCGCTCTCTACTTTCTCTGTTAGTCATTTGTAAATTCTGAATGATCAGCATAAAATGTATGAGGTAGAAAAAGATACCGTTAGGGCAAAATACATTTCAGACTGTGTTACTGCTTGGCTTATCAGGATAGATGAAGCACTAACATCTTTCACTAGGAAATGAGATGATATGGGTATTTATATTTTACATACGTAAACTCCAGACTCCATTTTATGTATTAACATTTTCCCTGCACCTGGGAAAATGGAAAAAATGACAGATTTCTCTGACAGCTTTTCTACACCCTCTCTGAGAGAGGTTTTGATAACCACTAAAATGGTAGACTATGTGAGATGGAAGTATTAGGTCGTAGAACTTTCTTTTAAGGTGGGTATGTCATGCCTTAACATCCAAATCAGTTGGTCTTCAGTGGTTTCCTTGGAAAGGACCACTTATTACAGCTGTCCTGTGAAACTTAATGCTTTCAGCACTCTTTTAGAGATGCCATGAGAATCAGTTTGTGACTATGCAAGAAAATCATTTCATCACTTTTGTTGCACAAAAACTTTTGGCAGCTTAATATGACTTACTGTAATCACCAAATCAAGTCTAGTAACTTGGTTATTTTCTGAGAAGCAAGCCACTAGGCAAAAAGAATGTGTCATAGACTAAATCTGCTGAAGAGAATGTTTTAAGCATTATTTGCATCATTGGTTTCCTGGTGTCACTATTTTAAACTATACAGTATCATTTGGATGTGTAGGCTTACGGTCTTTAAAAAAAACTCTGTCTTATAGTAAAATGTATCTTTCAAAAACCCGTTTTATTTTCTGGAACTTGTTGTCCAGTTTTTAATCCTCTTTCCTGAAGACTTTTACGTTCTGTCTGTGACTACTGTCAGATAGTTCAGTGTTAGAGAATATGGAAAAATTGACTCAGTATTTAAAATAGAATAGTTTTAAGGAAACAAAGTTTTTACCTCCATTTTTTAAAAACATGCTTTTTCTCAAATGAACAATATAACTTTAAAAGATGGGATTATTGCACAAGAAAATTGGGATAAATTTTATGTACGAATTATGCTGTTTTAAACCTCAGTATCTCAAAATACTGAGAATTTTATAACTTTCATACATCATTTATAATGTTAAATTTTGATTGTTTTTTCAGAAAGATGAGTGCTAAAAGTTATTTGTGATTTGGAAATGTGACTATATATTTTGAAAACTTCTCTTATTTTAAAACTTAGTGGGGTTTTAAAACAATATACCAGTTCTTACAAACAGATGTATACTTTGAGGACCCCCCAAAATAAATTTAAATTTGTCCTAATGTTAAAATTTACCATGAGAGTCACTTTTGTTGGCTATCATCTTGTATATGATATAACAGAGTTAGCTCTTTCAAGATTTAGTGGAAAAGTTTAATTAGAACATGTAACAATTTTCGCTGCAGATGATTTGAATTTTGCAGGTTTTCATAATAAGTTAAGGAGAATAGTGAAATACCCTCCCAGGCTGCCTCTGAAAGCTGGATTATTGACATTTTGGCAGAAGAAAAAAAGTGCAGATTAGAATATTGAGTACTCTGTTTTATAAGTGTAAAGCAAGTTTCTCTTTTTGCTTAATTTCTATTCTGAATATTAGTAAAATAACTGACCTTTTCCCAGCTGTTTTCTTAACCTTCGTCTCCCTTTTGAGGTACTCATGTGAGCGCTCACATGTGTGCGTGCACACACATGGAAACAACCATTTAGGTTGATTTTGCAAGTCTTCCTTTTTAGGGATTCTGAAGTACTTATTATAAAGTCAGTTTGTTATGGTTGATAACTTTCTTTAAATTTGTCACAGAAACAGTATTAGTGATACAAACTTTTATTTCTCTTTTTATATATTATTTTATATCATTAAATTCTTATAGGTAGATGATTCTTACAGTTTTGCACAAGTTTAATTTTTGTTTCTGAAATAGTATTTGTGCACATTGTGAAATAGATTAGTACATTTTCATTTAAGAACTTTTGTCCTTAAGTTGGTCTGCAGAAATAACTATTTTTAGGAAAATAATTTTTTAACAGTCTTCACTAAATTGTATTTGTTATTTTTGTACATGCATAACCAGGGTGGTAAAGACACTAATCTTTTAGGAAATTCTTACTTTGTTCTCTCTGAATTTTTCCTATACTTTTGTTACTTAAAATTATCACTAAAAGCAGTCTCATGAAATCTAGACTGAGAGAGAATACACTAAATATGAGAAAACTTACATTTTGAATAGGAATTATTTCTGAAGACAAAAGCAGAGGTGTAGCGCTGGTGCCCCGTACTGGCAGCGTAGGGCAGCATTCACATTGTGCTGGTGTGTCAGGTAGCGCACAAACAGGAAGATCCTGTTCTCACGGAGAGCGTTCATAGCTGGACCCTGGACATGGTGGTGCATGCCTGTAATTACAGGTGCTAGGAGACTGACAGGAAGATTGCAAGTCTGAGTCAAGCTTGTACTGTTTAGTGAGACACTGTCGCAAAGAAGTGTGCGGCTGTAGCGTGGTGGTAGAGCACGTGTCGTACATGCGTGATTCCCGGGTGAATCCCCAGCACCACCAGCAACAGTACATGGCTGGAAGGGAGGAAAGTAGTCTGAAATATGAAATGCAACTTGGAAGCTCTGTCTTAAGCTGTGCCAAGATGGCACACATTGTAGTAGTTATTGATTAAAGTTTAATTGCTTCATTTTTATTTTAAAAGGGGATCTGAGTGTCAAATATGTAATGTTTTATTTGAAAGTTGTAAATAATGTATACAGACTTGTGATGGGGTGGGAAGTATCTAAAATTCTAGATTTCTTAAAAAACAATGTTTATAAGAAAAAAATGAATAAAGTTACAGTTGGCCCTGAATCCCGACTCACTGGTATTATTTATATATATATAAAATTTGTTTTTGTACTGGGGATCAAACATGACCTCGCGCTTGCCAGGCGACATTTATACTGCTGAGCTAAATCTCCAGCCCTATTATTTGTATTTTATAGTAGGTCTTTCCACAGTGAGCCCATTCCGTGGGGAACCAGTCTTGTGGGATAGAAGGCATTTCAGAGCTCTTGAGCACCATTGTCTGTAATGATCACAACCGTGGAAGGTAGCGTAGCAGTGTGTTACAAAGCGGAACACTAAAGTTCAGAAATTGTTCAAGTTACTGATTTAGTCTAGGTGTGACAAGCTTTAGTATGTCTGAATTTGAAGCTAGAGTTTGTTTACCATATCTACTAAAATGGTAACAGTTTGCAAGACGATGAATTATTTGTGGATATTTCTTTCAAGCTTAGATAATATCTCATAGTTTGTCTTCATTATAGATCATAAAGAAACTAATGAACTCTACTGGAGAACTACTTATTCTGATATTTAAATTTCAAAAAGAAATGTATTTAGAGCATGATTTAGAAGTACCTGTTTCAGAGGCATTTGTGCTTGAACTCTCAGTTTGAGAATATAGTAGTAGCCACAGTGTCTAAAGTCACTAATGGCATTTGTGGAAAGAACAGGGAGTTGATGGTGTCTATTGATTTTAAAAATGCCTCATTTTGCTTGTTACTGTATTTACAAACTGCTGTATACTCATTACAGTAAAATTAATTTTGGTAATTAGGTTAATTTACCTCTTGTACTGAATGTAAATTTTTAATTCCTCAGTAACTGTCTGGAATTGTGCAGTTTGCAACACAAAAGTGCTAAATAATTAACCCTTTAAGGCTTAACCATGCTTAATGGATGTTTTACCAATAGATCGTACATGAGTCTGTTTTTTGTTTTTTGAGACACAGTCTTTTTTGTGGGGGGGATACTGGGGATCAAACTCATGGCCTCTGTTTGCTAGGCACTTTTCCTGCTGAGCTAAATCCTTGGCCCCAAGACATAGTCTTGCTATGTAGTTTAGGGTTGGTCATGAACTCATTAATATGCAAGCTGGACTTAAATTTGAGGTGGTCCTTCTGTCTTGCCTTTCCGAATGCTGGGATTTAGAGGCATGTGTGCCACCACACACGGCTTATGTTTTTGTTTTAGTGAATGCATTTCTTTTTCCCTTTTCTTGAGAAAGGGTGTTGCTGTGTAGTTCATCCTAGCCTTAAATTCACTTTGCAGCACTCAGGAGGCTGAGGCAGGAGGATCGTTACAAGTTCGAGACCAACCTGGTCTACAAAGTGATCTCAAGGCCAGCCTTAATTGCATAGCAAGATCCTATCTCAAAAAGAAAAAACAAAACAAATGAAAAGAAAACCATTTTGTAACTCAGACTGGTCTTGAACTCACAGTGATCCTACTGCCTCAGCCTCCCGAGTGCTGGGATTACAGGCACGCAACACACCTGATTGGAAATATTTTCTTCAGCGTAGCAGAACAACTGAACTTATCTTTATCCCACTTAAAGTGAAAACCATCACTAGTACATTTCACTGCAAAATATCACTAGTACATTAACACCTCCTCGGGTTAGATTTTTATATGCAGCATACACCTTTTTGAGTTCTGAAACATTGACTGTAAGGTAAGGGATTATGGTGGCAGGCGTCCTGAGAAGCCCTTTTCTCTCGTCTTTTTCCTTGCCCTCCATGACCTTCGTAGGAAAATGGGATATCACACTAGATTTAATGTTGAGAGCTAGCTAGATTAGATTGTTTCCTTCATTTGTTTATATTTTTGAAGCAACTTTTAAGCTTCGAGAACTCAACATTCTTACATCTAGACACAAGCAGAACTGGGATTTAGAACTAGTTTTTGATTTTCCAGTGCTTACACATTTTTTCTGGGGGTGAGGGGTCCTACTATAAGTTGGCCCTGAATGCACTGTGTATAGCCCAACTTGGCCTCGAACTCTTAGGGATGTTTCTGCCTCAGCCTCCTGAGTGCTGGGATCACAGTAAAGTGTCATTTTTTTTTGAGTTAAGGTCTTGTTTTTTTGTTTGTTAAAGTCACGTAGAGGTTTTACTCCATACTTCCAAAACTTGTAAAAGTCATAGTGAGACTTTCTCCTACGAAAAAGGTCTCCACTTGCCTTCCTTCCCTTAGGACTGTTAAAGCCCATAATGTGGGCTTCTTCATGGAACACGACCTCTATACCTTCTTTGCACCTTCCGGATGACAATTCTTTAGGCCTTTTTAAAGGGTTCTAGCTGCTAATCGTCGCGGGATAACAGGTAATATTCATAGACTAATAGCATAAAATAATACATGAAGTTAGAGTCATTTTTGCTCTTTCCACTCGCGTTCCCCATGGGCTCTTTTTAAGGTTTGCTCTTTATTTTTGAGAATGCAGTCGCCATTTCCCCTTCTTCGACAGCAACTTTAAGATGCATCTCAGGACTGGACAGCTGCAAGGTGAACCGGCAAGGCGAGCCCTTCTGTTCCCGTAGGCTACTCGCGCCGCCCCGTCTCCACGCGGGAAAGACCTGTGCCGTTCCCGCAGCTAGCCGGGTCTCTCAGCTCGTCGCGCGTGGCGCGCCGATCCAGCCCGGGCACATCGCCACGCAGGTGCATCCGCCCACCAGCCCCGCAGATACGCCTCTGCGGCCCGTCGGCCCAGGGACCCAACGTGACCACGCACGTATGCACGCACGCACGCACTCGCGCGCGCGGACGCTGGTGAAGGCGCGCGGTGGGCGGGGCCGCGCAAGGCCCGCCCCGTCGGAGCGGCCAACGCGCGCCAAAGTCAAACCGGGCGGTGGAGCTGAGAGTCCCAGGAGCGGTTCCGCGCGCTAGCCTCTGCTAGCCTCACGGATGGCCACCCCGCCCAAGAGAGTCTGCCCGTCCCCTGCCCCCGGCGGCGAGGGCGCCCGTGTGAAGAAGGTCTCCGTGGAAGGCAACATCGGTAAGGAGCGCGCCAGGCGGGGCTGTGGGGAGCTGCTCCGGTGCCGCACTGCCCCCGTGGTCGGCGAGTCGTGTCGGTCGCTTGGATACGCCACGGTGTGTCCTAGTTAGACACCTGTGGGGTCGCTTCCAGCTTTAGTGACTGTTAGTGAAAGTACCACATACGTCAGGTGCAAGAAAGGAGGCTTCTGCTGGTCCCCACCTCCAAGTAGACGCTGAGTGGCCCTAGGCCGCGGTCGCGTTAGTTCTTCACCCTCCTAGGCGCCTGCACCCTGGCAGGATGAACATGATCCCTATTTTTGTATATGTCCTACTACAGGAAACCTACTATTGACGCTTCCTGTTTTGATAGAATTTTTACAGTTTTGGCTATATGTAGCATGGGTACTTGCCAGTCATGCGTTACAGCAAACGGTATGTCATTCTTAGCACATTCAAAGCAGTGTTGCTTCGTTGAAAAGGCAAGCCGAGCCGGCGCTTTAAGCAGTTGGAATGCAAGAAAGCCAGACTGCTTCAGAGAGGATCTATTTTATTGCTCCAGTTTACAGTCACTGGTGGGAAAGGCCCTTATTTCCTCTTAGGTTTTTGGGGGATGCGTGTTTACTAGTATGATTCCTCGCAGTTTCCTGGAGGGTAGACACCATGTATCAGCAGGAGACACTAGCTTAAAGGGGAATTGAAATGGAGAAACCCCAGATCAGAACTACAGTGGATAATCCCCTTTCTCAAATCCGTTAGGCAACATATCATATCTAGAAATCCTTTTTTCTCCGAGCATCTTTAATTTCAGCTCGTGATATAATTTTTTGTTTGTTTGTTTGTTTCTTTCTTGGTTTTTTGAGGCAGGCTCTCACTATGTACTTCAGGCTGGCCTCCAGCTCACAGCCATCCTCCTGTTTTAGTTTCCATAATGCTGGGATTACAGGTTTGCATCGCCATGCCTGGCTAGTAAGTTTCTAATGTGTCATTCCACCTCCAGTTTGTTTTAACTGCTTCCAGAGCAGTCATTTGCTACACAAAATGCAGTTGTGTTATCTTCAAATACCAACACTGAAAGACACTTGAAATTGGTGACTGGATAGGCTTGAAATTTCCCATATATCTGTAGATTCTTGATTTTCTATGAGAAACTCTGAAGGTCAGTTCCACTGTCCCCCCTTCCTTACTTTTGAAGCTTTGCCAATTGTTGTTTTTTATCGCTCTTATACTGTTCTTGCCCCTTCCACCTTACTTGCCAGATCCAAATAAGCTATTATTTGACAAAATAATCTTTGTAGATGACTACTTTGCAGTTCCTCTGCTTTTTCTAGAATTTGAACTTCGCCTGGTGCAAAAGGACTGAGCATCATTGTAGGCTAAAATAGAGAGGCAGTGTTTGAAAATGCAGGAGCCTGGAATGCCTGCCACCTTAGTGATGGCTTACCAGTTCTCACACACTTGCCTTGAAGAAGTACTGCTCTCTTCCTGGTGTTACGAGGAAACAGATGTTCGGGACTTAGCCAAATCTACACAGCTAGTGCAGTACTTCCCAGAGGATTCTTTCTGTGAGGGCTGGGAGCATTGTTCCTCTGCTGTTTCCTAAAATCTCACCAGGTTCTTAATGCCTCTGGTTTAATTCCATGGGTTTACTAAGCTGAAAACAATAAACGTGTGCTGCATACACTTGGAAGGCCCCTCTTGGTTTTCACTTAGCAGAGAGAGGGAAGGGGAGAAAGTATAGGGGTTGAAATTTGGTCTTACTTTTCTTGTTTTGTATTGTCTGCTGTTCTGTATCTTTTGAAAGGCAGTTGATTGTCTGGTTTTTCTTTTCCTGACTTTTTTTCTCAATTTTGCTTTCCTCCTGCACCAGCTGCGGGGAAGTCAACGTTCGTAAATATCCTGAAACAAGTCTGCGAGGACTGGGTGGTGGTTCCTGAGCCTGTTGCCAGATGGTGCAACGTTCAGAGCACTCAGGATGAATTTGAGGTATGAAAACAAAATTTAAGTGAACAAAATAAAAACCTTTTAGATTAGAGGAGCAGCATATTTAACTGCGTGGCTTTCCCCCCTCTTCCAGTAAAACTCAGATCTGGCTTTAAGTTTGAATCTTTATCTGGGTGTATGTATGTACACACGTATATAAAGATGCATTTAAGATTCATGCACAAGATAAGTAAAGTTTCAAGAGCTTTTTAAAAGCACTGATAAAGCCAGATGTGGTGGTACATGCCTGTAATCCCAGAACTCGATAGACTGAAGCAGGAAGATGGTTGTGAGTTTGAGATCAGCCCGGGCTACAAAGTGAGTTCAAGGCCAATTCGAACTGCATAGTGAGACCCTGTCTCAAAACAAAAAGAGACACTAATAGAGTTTTTATAAGTTAAAATGCAAGTTAAATTTCTTGTGGCTTTTTACATTTTGTTTTAAAACAAAGAAACAAAAACAATCACCAGTAACTAAATTTTTTGTACTTTGTCTTGTCAAGCCTTTTGTCATAGGAAAAATCATTTTCCCTTCATTTCTTTGTGTTATAGCACCATTTTTACTAGACTTTGTTTTTTTTGGTACTAGGGATCGAACACATGACCACTTGCTTGCCAGGCAGGCACTTATGCCGCTGTGCTAAACCCTGGGCCCCTCTTACTAGACTTTGATTCCAGGCACCAAGTTTCATTTTCCAGCATATGTGTATATTGCATTGAAAGTGAAAAAGGAAGGGAATAAAAGTTAAATTTCATTTTCTAGAGATTTTCTTTTTTTGGTCTTTTTTGAGATACCTTACTATGTAGTTCGAGTCATGAACTCACTTAGGTAGCCCAGGCTGGCCTTGAACTCTAGGTGATCCTCCTGCCTCAGCTGGGGGATTAAGTGCTGGGATTATAGGTGTGAGCCACTACACCCAGCTATGATCACATTTTCTTAAGAAATTGAGGGCTGGGGATATAGCCTAGTAGAATAGTGCCTACCTAGCAAGGTCCTGAGTTCAATTCCCTGTACCAAAAAAAATTTTGTTTTCTTTTCATTCATCATTTTTGATTGATGTGATGTAGCTGTAGAAGATTGCATGAAACCTGTATATAGGTTGAAGAACACTTTTTGTGGTTGTTTTTTGTTTTTTTGAGATACCATCTGCCTTACTACGTAGCCCAGCCTGGCTTTGAATCTGAGATGACCCATTTGGTTCAGTGTCCCAAGTGCTAGAATTATAGATGTGTGCCACCATGCTTGGCAGAACAGTTTTAAAGTTAGTGTCTTTATAACCATTATCCAGGTCAAGAAATGAACACTGTCATCATTCTAGAAATTCCTATTTGTCTTTTTCCAGTCATAGCTTCTTAAACCAGCGTTCAGATATGTGTGATGTCTCCTAGTTAAAAATCATTGCCCTAGGTAACCCAGTGACCTCATCATTACTGAGCCCTTGGGTTATGTTGTCAGAGGAGAGGTTGAAAAGCATTGTATCAGTACATTTGGAAAGATATTGACCTTGCAGCTTGCAGCTTGCAGAGAGTTAGATTACGCTAATGACTGATGTTAGGCAGTGACACATAGATATATCTGTCTTCATTTTAAGACTTTAAGGCTTTACACTGATGTTAGTGGACTGGGCCATTTTCTTTCCATGTACTAGAATCAGAGTTTCAAACTGGCTTTTCTTTATAACTTGCTTAGGACAAGATACTCTTTCATCAGTCATTCACTGCAATCCAGTCTTAATGATGGTACAGTGTGATTATCCTTACAGAATATTGAGGCAAATTCCTGGAGGGTAGCTTTAATTTGTTTGAGTGTACTGAGGGCTGTTGCACTGGCACTTTTCCCACCCTTTCATGCAGAGTTTCTGACCGTGTGGGAACAGTATTTCAGGGCTAAGAGGGAGAAAGCGAGGGGTAGACAGGTGGCTAGCTCCCCCATATCTTCAGATGTTTTCCTTTTTTGTTTCTGACCTCCACTAAACTCAGGATGTGGGTTTTTCTTTATCCTGGGACCTTCTTTCCCAAACCTATCCCTGATTGTGTCTTGGAATTATACTGTGAATGGCACACTGTCTAAATCTTGGCTTTTTTAGAATGCTGTGAACAGTGAGCAGTGCCCAGCCCTGGCCATTCCTGCTTTAGATGTTACCCACTTGATTGTACTCACAGGGGTAGGACTGGATCTGGTCTATTGATGCCTCTTACTCTGCGCTTAACTAAGTATGTACCCACAAGCTTAGTTCCTTTCCTTTTTATTTTGGCCTCCCCCTGTCCTCGCCACCTAGTGGCTGAAATGTTGCTGTACTACTGATATGCCACCACTAATTGGTAAAATAGCAAGAAACAAAGTATTTAAAAGATTGTGTAGTCTCCTTTCCTCTTGCCTCTCCTCTGGTAAAGATGATTTTTTTTTTTTTTTCTGTTGCTGGGAATTGAATTCATCACCTTGTGCTGGCCACGCAGCCACTTGTGTTACTGAGCCAAATTCCTGGCCCAAAGATGATGTTTAAAACCTACCGCTTAGCTGATTATCAATCTTCATATTAAAGATTTAAAGAAAAATAGCATTCTTTAGTTGGTAATTTATGTTGTTTAGGTCTAAAGCATTTATGTAATTACTGTCTTTTAGTTTATTTTTGAGATACACACCCTTAGGGAGGCTGCTCTATTTTTCAGTGATCTAAATTCTTTAGGCAGATTACTGTTATCATTTGTGAAGTGCAGTTTTAGTTTTTAAAAGTTAAAAAAAATTGAGAAATAAAACATATATAGTATGTAACATGGTATTTTGAAATATGCATACTTTTTGGGAGACTGAGTCTGGCTCATTAGCATGTATGTTATTTATCACCAAGAAGCCACTGAGAAATGAGTAACAGAGAGAAGGTATGAAATATACTTGGCTGAGAAAAAATAGCATATTTTTTCTTTTATTTTTGTATCTTTATATTTTTCACTCATTTTAGCAATAATCTATTCTTCCTGTAAAATGGTGAAAAATTCTGTCATGAAGTGACAGTGGATATGAGTTAGAGCCAAATAAAGGTTTCTGAAAGTTGAATTAATTGGACCAAAAAGTACAGATTTTAGTTAATTGCTCTCCAGAAGTATCATACCTGTAAAATTCTATTACAGATTTTTGCTTCAGTTTTAATTATTTTTAGCATTAACATTATTATTTTTATAAACAGGTGATAAGCCAGAATGAGCCTTTGAGGTCTTTAATATAGTAGACTCTGGAATTGCTTTGAGCAAGAGATTATATTTACTGAGAAATTCAACTAGAGAACATGTGTGATATTTACTATTATTATTATTATTATTTTTCCTGTTTGAGGCAGAGTCCCACTATATAGTCAAGGCTGGCCTTGAGCTCACAGTGACCCTGTGCCTCAGACTCCTGAGTGCTGGAATTATAGAGCCCTCATTCCTGGATTTTATTAATTTTTTGTGATTAAAAAACATAAAATATACCACCTATTTTGTAAATATACGGTTTATTAACGTTAAGTATATGTACATTGTTGTGAAATGGATCTCCAGAACCTTTGCAACTTTTAAAACCGAAACTGTACCAATCCAGTGGCTCGCTTTGTCCCCTGTTCCCTCCTTTGGTCATTGCCATTCTACTTGTGTGAGTCTGATAACTTCAGATACCTCACAGAAGTGGAGTGATAATATTCGTCCTTATGTTTACTTCATCTAACAAAATATCTTTCGCTATAGTTTTAAAAATATACGTCTATAGAAATGAAAAGGTATGTGTTTGAAAGGACATAAGATAGAGAACTCAGATTTTAAAAATGGAAATTAACACTGAAAAAGAAAATATTATAGTTAAAATTACAAGGTGATTGTTGTGGAACATGCTTGTAATCCCAGCACTTGGGAGACTGAAACAGGAGGATTCCAAGTTCGAGTCCAGCATGGGCTACATAGTGAAACCCTTTCTCAAAAAATCAAAAAGAAACTATGTATAATTACAATTAATAACATATAGCAAATTAAATCCATATTTTGAATATGTAGCTGAGGAATTGAAAATAGTGGTGTTTATTACCAAATAACTTGTTTTCACTAGATGTGGTGGTGCATGCCTGTAATTTCAGTGCTTGGGAGGCTGAGGCAGGAGGATTGCTATGAGTGTGAGGCCAGCGTGGGCTATGTAATGGGGCCAGTCTAAGCTACATAGCAAGACCCTGTCTCAAAAACAAACAAACAAAAAACCAAATATCTTTGGTTTTTGTCATCTTTGTTGAATTATTCTGGCTTCAGAAAAAGTTTCGAATTTACGTTCATCATGTAACAAGACAATGAGTTATGTGTATAATGGACGTATGCAACAAATGAATTTTGTTTTTAGACTTTGTTCTCATTTCTAAGATATCTCATAATGTATGTGCAGATATTCAAAGTACAAAACATTCTAAAGCGTGAGACACTTGCAGTCCCCTTCGTGGATAAGGGATCTGTGTTTTCAAGTGAAATAACCTGCCCCACATTCAGTCCAGGTGAATTCAAGGTAGCACTTGCTGTTATAACATACTATAAATCCATGGGTCAAGACGCTGAAAGTGTTTTCTGTCAGAGAGCAGTACAGCATGTTGCTTGATGGGTGGCAGACAGTGGAGGGATTCATGACCTACCGCCTTCTCAGTCATGGCCAGTGATTTAATGTTCATGGTCATTAGGACCCTTGGGAAGACTTGGGGCTACAGATGTGCACCTTGTCCACTTCTGATGTAATAGGTCTGTTCCAGGCGTGTGTCTGTGTGCATGCATGTGCATGTGCGCGTGTGTGCGTGTGCATATTGCTGGAGACTGGACTGAGGCCCTTTGCGCTGACCTACAGCCTCAGCCCTTTTTAAGTTTTTAAATTTGCTTTGAGACAGGTATCACTAAGTTACTAAGCTGCCCAGGCTGACTTGATTCTGCTGACTCAGCCCCAGACTGCTGGATCATAGCCTTGTGGCACCACCACTGCAGTTGTTGTGGTGACTGTGTTGAGGG